TACAAACGTCTAGTGCAGTTGTGAGTTACGTAGAAGGATGTGAAAATTGAAGTTAGGATCACAGATAAGGTACCAAAAAAGAAAAAGTGCCTATAATATAATTGAAAAGTTACATTTAGCCTTGTGGAATACCCGTTAATATGGTCTATTTAAAGAAGAGATGCTAGAAAAGCTGGGGAACAAGGTAGTCTGCGTGTCAAGTAGTGACATTAATGGCACCAGAGAGTATAGAAATTCAACACTGTGATTTGATCTGGTCATTAGGACCCAAGAGGGAGGTACCAAGTCTCTCTCATTCTGGGTTTTGTCCCAGACACTCTCTTGAAACTATTTCTTGAAAACCAGCAGTTACTTCCTAGTCTCCAAATCCACAGTAATTCCTGTCTCTTCTTAAGAATGTAATCACTGCCTCTGTCTTGAAACTCCTTTCGGGTTTTTTTTTTTTTTTTTCCCTCGAAAGAATAGACTACTGGTGGTTCTTCTGCTTCTATCTTTCCACTTTCCTTTTGAAATTCAGCTCTGACTCCTAATTATAAATGTTTCACAAGTGTCTGGACTTGGCTCTCTTCTTTGTCCTTTATGCTTTGAATTCCCATGTTTCCAAACACTTTCCTAACTGCAGAGAATACCTCAATACCACATAACTCAGAACAGTGCTTCCTTCACGTATCTGCTGAGTAGAGGAAAGGAAGGAGAAAGCAGTGAGGCAGAGAGAGGTGATGGGAGGTGCAGTGGGTAATGGGGAAGTTTGGAAGGTGGAACTGCCAAGCCAGGATGAAGCCCAAGATATGGAGATGGAACAGGCAACCGATGTGGATTTGAGGTAACAATCACTTAAGTCAAGAAAGAGGAAGGACTCTGAATTCAGGACACCAGGCATATCCCCATAGTCAAATAATTTTGGAAAACACTGGGTTAAACAAAGTGAAATAGGTTTGGCTTCTTTAAGACTTTATAATGAATTTTATAAGCTAATAATGTGTATTAGAGTCTCCAAGAATAGTAAACATTACTTTCCCAACTGAAAAATGTTTTCCTCTCCGCAGAAAATCTTAAAGGACCAGTGCAATCACTGTTTTATTTTTTTCTGGTTGTGTTTATTAGTATATAATGTGTATCCAGTGCTGCATTAAGTGTTCACGCGCCGTGAGAGATAAAATTAGAAGATTCCATTGCTGCCTTTGAGAATAAAACATTCTAATTAGGAAGAGTAGAGAAAAGCCAAAGATAGTTCATAATAAAATCCTATGAGATCAGACTCCAAATACAGAAGAAAAGACACTGGACAGCAAAATCTAAATGTCACGATTCTCAATTATTTGCCTTTGCTAAATATAGCAACCTAAGTAGAGGGCAAATTGAGAAACAGATGAGACAAACTGGGGAAAATACACCAGTGATATTAAACTTCAGCCCAACTCCATCGTTTCTCCAAAAATGACTGCAAAGGGAACCAGTTATGATCTTTATGCAAACCAATGTTAGCCAACATTCTAAGTTTTATTTCCACCAGTAAAAAAAAAAAAAAAGCCATAATTCAATTGTGTACACATACTTCTCCATAGTTGTGACCAATTATTAAGAATATATGGAAATAGGTCAGTTTCTGTTTTAAAAATAATTTAGTCATCTACAATCCTCATTCTAGTGATGTGATCACATCCTTACTTTGTGGAACAGGAAAGGATATAGCCTAGTGGAGAGAGGGAAATCTAATTTAGAAAGATCAAGTATGAATCCTTGAGGGCAATAACAAAGTCCCTCCTAACCCTTAGGGGATTGGATTCACATGAGAGACAGAGGTTTGAGGGGATTGGAAAGACTGTGAGGTGGGAATGAAGGAAGAGAAATGTCTTAAGGAAAACAAAAGACAAATGGAAGAAACAAGGGAAAGAACTAGATTCTCTTTCAAGGACCTACCGTTCCATCCCCACCACAGGCCAGAATCCGCAGATTTGGTACTTTCCTATATAATTCAAGCCTGTAGAGGATACAGAAGGAAAAGTAAATAAAAGAGCATATCACCGGCCATAGCAGAGGGCATGATTCCAAAACACACCAAAACGAAGAGGGGCGTGGAGGGTGTCCACTGGAGAAAATGCATAACCGCGAGAATGGTAATACCTTCAAAACTAGTCACCGAGTAGTCACCAAGTACTGGTTCCAACAATCGGATTAGGGGCTGGCAGCAAATGTCACTGGAATGGGGTTTTAGGGTGTCCTAGTGTTTTATTTCCCATAATTCCTATTAATGTGTCAACGCACATTTTCTTCACTAGTGTCAAATTCCTTCTTTTTCTTTCCATTCTTCTCCCTCCTTTCTCAAAGAACATCAAATCTGATTAGCTTTTCCCAGACCTATTTATTTTTCAAACCTACACTTCCCACTCTTACTCCTAGAAAACCTTCTTCAGAGAGATAGGAAGGACACCCCATTAGCATTATTACTACCACACCCACAATTCCATCTCCCTCTCAACTCACCCGCTGACGCTCAAACCCCCATTTATACTCCTCAGCCCCAAAAGGGAAGATTTACTGAAATTTCTTTATTTTGAATTTGTCTGCTTGAATTTAGATCCTTCCTGTTGTCTCAAGAAAATGCAATGATACTGTCCCCGCTAAAATGTTTGCTTAAGTGACAATTTCAATGGCTCTATTCCAGAAAACATCACCTATTTAAATCAAATCATATTTTTTTCTGAAAATAGTTCCTGTCCTGCCATGTTCTTTATGGTTATCTATGAAGTATCTACCTAAAGTCTAACTAAAAATGATAAAATCTTAAGTAAATGTGAAAGGGCAAAAGTAAAAGGGAAAAAGCAGATTTGCCTTAATACATCTGAATGCAGAAAAAAATATAGAAGTCTTATAGCAAACTCTAGTGGCAAGGAAGTTCACAGATTAAGAGAATGACAACAGAAGTTAATTTTCATAATTAATGTTCTCTCGTAGGCTTAAAATATGTAATTTATCTATTTCATACAGGAATATTATTTTCTAGAAATTATCTGAGCTTGTGTTTCTTTGCCTCTGATATTATTATTTATAAGTAGTTATAAAAATAATTAGTATCTCTTTAGCTCTAATGTTTACCAGATGATATCTGAACTACCTTATTAGGTGGGTTTTAAAAAGGGAACCAGACAACAGCAGAAATGTCCCTGCTCCTTCCCACCATGTACCCCTCCACGAAAGGGAAGATATAGGACACATATCATCTACAGAGAGACTTTATTTTTCACCACTTCGAACAAAAAACAGAGAATGAAATTTCTGAGAGGCTCAGATGAAGGACTGAGCAGGAATTAGAATGTCTCTCCCACTCTGGTATGGAATCCATAGGTATAATCAATTAATCAATCAAGCTCTCAAATGGACACAGATGCATACAATTTCTAATGCAAATAAATGAAAATATTCATAAACAGAGATGGCCCTTCTCCACAAAGATACACTTACATTCCCATTAATGTACATCTCCAAAGTGGTACATGCATAAGTAGAAAAAGGATGGATCCTTTCTCGATTCAGATTTGCTCATAATGTACAGTTACATGTGTCTAAGCAGCAAACACACTCAGAGTTAACATCTCAGAGGGTAAGTGTTGAAGGAAACTAACCCAGTGAAGAGGGAAACAGCAGATGAAGTTTTAAAGGGAGGACAGTGCAGGTGAGCAAGTAGATGAGAGACGGTCAGAAAAACACTTCATGAGGTCATCAAATAATAAAGCTTGACTCCAAAGCAGAAAGTCCTTCTCACTCGCCTAAAATAGTAAGAACCATGGAGGGTATTTCCAGACTTACGCGTCTTTTGGCCCTTCCTGAGAAAGATCAAAGACTTGCCGTGGGTTCAGGTACCACATGAACATCTGCATGACCTTGGTTCCCTGTAAGGACAAAAAAAATGACAATAACAGGAAGAAATTTCCAAATATTACCTGCTCATTTAAAGAATAAAAATAAATCCTGTTCTAAAAAATAATATTGAATTATAAACAGTATAGAGTAGCAGTTAAAATCATGGACTTTGGCCATCGATATACATAGGTTGAATGCTTATATTAGGCTCTGTCTAACCTGTGTAACTCTGGGCAAGTTCTTTAATTTCACTAAGTTCAGCTCTCTTCTCATTAACATGCAGGAATAAAAATGCCTAGTTCACAGACTTGTTGTAAAGATTAAATGCAATAATGTCTGAGGAGGACATCAAAGTGGTTGGCATGCAACAAATGCTTAATGATTAGTATCTATTGGCCTTTACTATCATTATTTAACGTATGAAAATCCACACGGGGAAGTTATTAGTCAACTTATGTAATTTAACATTACTTTTTACTTTATTGTGCAGATTATTGTCTTTGCATAATATGAAATAAGGACAGTATTAGCTAAGTATGACTTTATTGAAATAAATGTTTTTAACCACAGCAAAAGTATCTCAGGCTCCCCATACTTAAAATATATAATTTCTCTAGTTCGTGCTATCAACTCTTACCTGGACATTTTTCAATTTCCATGTATACATCTGTGTCTTTTTCTCTCTCTCATAACCATTTTTGGAGTGTCTTAAGTAACTGTGACATTTATAGCGATATCATGGCAAATACAAAGCAGTTCTGGAGATCACTTCTTAAAGTGAATTGAGCAAAAATCAAATTAAAGAAGAATTTTTTTTTTATTAAGCAGTATCGAAAGAGCTTTACAATTGAGTAGGGCGCCTCATTTTAGGTCACTACCAACCATAGCAAATAATATTTGATCGGTTGGGCAGCATCCGTTGCTTATAACTATCATCCCTTTATTAGCTATCAGGATTGCTCTTCCTTGAAAATACTCCTAAGTTTGGATACCTATACACTGTATTTGAGAGTCATCCCGGTACAGTAGAAATAGCACAATATTTGAGTCAGAGCTAACTTGGGTGTTCTAACTGAGTGACTGTGAGAATTTATCATCTTGCAGAAATTCAGCATGTAAAATAGGGCAATGCCTACTTTCCAAGGTGATTATGAGAATTAAATGAATCAGTAATAGTTTTGTATCCAGCACAGTATGTGGCACAAAATAGGCCTTTGTAAATGTCAGTCCCTTTCTTTTTTGTTCCTTGTTAATCTATTCATTAAACTACACTTGAGCATGTGAGGGCTAAAGTGTAGTTTATAATTATCACACTGCTATACCAGTTGTTAACAGAGGCCAGTGTAGGTCTTTTGTTCCACAGTTCATCCAAACCTATAATTTAAAAGTTCTGCTTTATCACGTGCTTGCTATAAATTTAGGAATAACATTCTACCCTTAATCATTACAACTAATCCTTCAGTTTCGCCAAATGACATACTTTGTTTCCTACAAAATCTAGATATAGATTTAGATACATAATAATAACTAAATACTAAACCATTCTCTTCTTTCCACACCAGGCCTTGGTATCAAGTCAGTTGGGGATTATTTCAAGTAATCTTTTATGTTTCATAGGTAATACCAGAGTCATTCTAATGACCAATCAGTTTATTAAAAATTTCCAACTGACTTGCTGGAAAATTAATTTTTCACTTTTAGATTCCTAGGGCAATGTGAATTGTAGATGTTAATTACTCCTTTGTTGTCACCTTTGGCTATGGTGTGCGTCTCAATTCCAGTTTCTCTTATATATACAATACTAGGTAATTAACACCTTTCAAAAAATAAAAAGCATTGAGGTTTTTTTTTTTATCTTCAAATTTCTCTAAAAGGTTTGAATGTCCACACCATGTTGGGTTTTGCTCATTTTCAATTTGTGTTACTTTGAACACCTAATTCTCTACATTTATCCTTTTGACAAAGGGGTATTTTTTAAGGCTGACAAGTTTTGCACCCCACGCTTCTAGGAGGTGCCACTTAATGTTGCAGCCTACTGGAATAATGCTCTCTAGAATTGGGCAGGGATGACTTTCATAAACATGCAAGGCTGCCCTATCAGAGTTTATATTCAGGCATGATATAATTTCTTATTTTAAAAGTAATCTTTCTAAAACACATTCATTAGCAAAAATGATAAGTGTCTGAATGAAAGTATTGCATTGTCTTAAATCAATCTTGGTGGGTAAAGAAAAGAGACCTAAAACATTTAAGTTAGTTCTATTTACTCTGCTGCTACCTCTAGGATAAGCTACTCAGTGCTTTAATAGAGATAATTTATTGAATAGAGCTGAATGGGTTGACAAGTACTAATTCACCAGGAAAAGAGTAACTTATTTCTTTCTCACTGACAAGATTAAGTCTACTCCATCACCTACACAACTGACTAGCGAGTTTCAAATACTCTCATAGTCATCACATGCTATATGCCTTGTAAAAGCTGAACTTCTGTGCAAGAGTTTTATTTTTCTCTAAATGAAAAAAAAAAACAGCTTACACATCAATTCTAATACGCTCTGGAGTGTGTTCTCATACATATGGTTGTAGATGTAATACCTCAATGACCACAGAATTTTCTAAGATAGCTTGAGATTGGGTATTCCTATGGAATGAAAAAACATTGTTCTGTCCAGCTCCAGGTATCAGGGAACAGAGTGGGGCAGAATAAAACAACTTCCAAGAAAATAGGTAGATTGTTCCAGAGGGGAACGAATAGGATTCATCCATTCACCTCCTATGTGCTAGGCACGGTTTCAGGTAAGGGGATCAGGAGATGGACAAGACAGAGAAGATCTTGTTCTCCAAAGGAAGTTCTCTGAATTATTCATGAAAAAAATATAATGATTTGGGGAGTATAGAGGATCAAATAAGTATGGGTCAGCTCAAATAGCAGCACATCAATTGTCATCAAAGCACTGGAACTCTCATGTAGGGCTCAGTACTCTATGTTACTAAGCAAGCCTTGGTTTATATCATGGAGGCATTATCTAGCTCATGAAAAGAACTGTCCAGACAATAAGAAAGACCTGAGGAAAATAACAGTGGGAGGAGGACGTAAAGAAATCTCTTAACCCAAACAATCCCAAAAGAATACCTTATTGATTCAATAAACCTGTATTAGGCTCCGACTCTGTACCCATGTGCACACCCAGGAGCTCAGGAGACCGACCCAAAATAAATTCGTTCACTAAAGATGGTAAATGCTATGATGAAGCTGTCTACTGAGATGTATGAGTGGCTGGAGGAGATACTCTTAAGCCCAACTATGGGGATTGGACGAAGGCTTCCCATGTATGATGTTTGAACTGTGTCTTGCAAGATGAGTAGAGTTAACCGTTTCTTTTTACATGGAGTAGAGGAAGAAGTTTTAGGGTAAAGGTACAAGACGTGTGAGACAGCAAGGCATGTCACGGAAAAACTATATTCATTTCAGTCTTTGGACCATGAGGCAGGGGTGGTGGGAGATGAAACTCCCAAAGTGAGTTGTAGATTAAGTCATGTAGGCTATGGAGCTCAGGCTTTATTTTGCAGGAAATGACAGTCACTGAAATGTCTTAATCAGAGGAATTGGACTCACATTTTGATACATCAGTCTGACTAGAGGCTAAGGAGCTAGACATCTAGGCCCTAGACCTATCAAAGGGGCTAGGTGGCTTGGTTTAGCCACTGCGGTACACTGATGTCTGCTCCTCCAAAATTCACCCTCAATGTGATGGTATTAGCAGGTGGGGCCTTTGGAATAGGCACACAAAAAGATGCCCAACATCGCTAATTATTAGAGAAATGCAAATCAAAGCCACAATGAGGTATCATTTCACACCGGTCTGAATGGCCATCATCAAAAAGTCCAAATAATAAACGCTGGAGAGGATGTAGAGAAAAGGGAACCCTCCTACACTGTTGGTGGGAGTGTAAACTGGTGCAGCCGTTATAGAAAACAGTATGGAGATTCCTTAAAAAACTGAAAATAGAGTTACCACATGATCCAGCAATCCCACTCCTGGGCATATATCCGGAGAAGACTGTAATTCAAAAAGATACATGCACCCCAATGTCCACTGCAGCACTATTTACAATAGCCAAGACATGGAAGCAACCTAAGTGTCCATCGACAGTTAAGTGAATAAAGATGTTTTATATATATATTTATATTATTTTAGATATATAATATAAATATACATTTATATATATACATACACACACAATGGGATAGTACTCATCCATAAAAAAGAATGAAATAATGCCATTTGCAGCAACATGGATGGACCCAGGGATTGTCATATCAAGTGAAGTAAGTCAGACAGAACAAGACAAACATCATATGATATCACTTACATGTGGAATCTAAAATATGACACGAATGAACTTATTTACAGAACAGAAACAAACTCACAGACATAGAAAACAAACTTATGGTTACCAAAGGGGAAAGAGCGGGGAGGGGGATAAATTAATAGTTTGGGATTAGCAAACATACACTACTATATATAAAACAGATAAACAACAAAGTCCTACTGTGTAGCACAGGGAACTATATTCAATATCCTGTAATAAACCATAATGGGAAAGAATACACAGACACACACACACTAAATCACTTTGTTGTACAGCAGAAATACAACACTGTAAATCAACTATAGTTCAATAAAACAATAAAACAATAAAATAATGTTTTTGATTTATCCCTAGGTTGAGCATCGTAGAAAATAACATCTTCACTGAGGCTGTTTGTTCAGTATGTAGAAATAGTCTGGGGACTCAGATTGGAAGTTACTTCCTCTCTTTGTCTCCTCCTTCTCCCCACCTGGGTTGACCTTCCCTGGCCTGACTTAGGAAGGGCCGGCCCTGGTCTGGGGAAGCCAGTATGAGCCTGTCCACAGGCTGAACATCCCTCCCCCCTATAACCTGCTGATAAGCTCCCTGGCAACTCTGATCCAGGGGTCCAGCTCATGCCACACCTGTACCCTGGGATTTCACAATGAGCGTCGTG